AGGGCTGGAAATTAATATCCTCTTAAGAGACAGAGACATTAATAGGTACCACAAGACCCTTTGTGAAAAGTAGTCTGGGAAAATGAAGGCACACATATCTGCTCTCTTCCATCTGTGGTCAGGACATAGGTGCATGTTCAATTAGACTTCGGGACAGTAAGATATATTTGGAGGCCTCCTTCTGTGAGGAAGGGTCCTTTCAGGATTTTGTGGAATCAGTATCTTCCTCAGCCCCTGCTTTCCCACCTAACAGCTAGGGCTCGTAGACACACAATACCTGACACACTTGCTCATTCATCCATTGCTTCTCAGTGCTTGGTATGTGGAAGGTCCTGTGTTGGCCAAAGGGGTAGGAAGATGAGGTGGCTATGTCCTCCTCCCTGCCTTCAGAGAATTCACAGTAACAGATGACATAACACACAACTACTTATAAAGCAGAGGATAAGCGCCATAATAAAGGTACGAACAAAGAGGGAGGATTCTGGGAAGGTTTCATGGAGGTTTGCATTTAAGCTTGGCTTTCAAGGATGAGTAGGATTTCCACAGAAAGAGATGCAGCATGTAAAACCTATATCGGATTACTTATCGTCTTGGGGAGATAGAAAAATTTGGAAAGTAAAATCTCTCAAAAAATGAACGTTGAAAAGTGTCTTTACATGTAATGGGAAAAAATAAAATACTATTAAATTTCTTTTTTTTTAAAGAGAGAGCTGTAGGTGGGGGTTAGAAAGGAAAAGACATTTGAACCATAGGTATAAAAGTATGGAGAAAAGACTGGATCACACAAGGCTTCAAGTGCCAGTCCAAGGAATCTTCCTGCGGTACAATTCAATGTGTTTGTTTTGTTTTGTTTTGGAGAAGCAGTCTAGTGCACTGGAAAGAGCATTGGACTATTTGTCAGGAGACTGGTTGAGTCCTGGTCTTGCACAGCCAGCTCTTATAGCGTTGGGCAAATCCTTTCCCCTCTGTGGGTCTGTTTCCTTCTCTCTAAAATGTGGGGGCTGGACCCGATGCTCTCTGAGCTCTCCCAATTCTAACATGCAGCACTTCTAGTCTTTGTTAAGGCCCTGCTCTGTGATTCTGATCCTAACTTTGGTTTTTCAGTCATGGGATGAGCTGGTCCAAGCTCTTTACTCCATCTCTCCAGCTCCCCTTCTCTCTCCAGAGAAAAATTCAAGGTCTGATTGCATGCCTTTGCCAGGATTTTATTGTGAGAGGTCAAGTCTTGCCAGACAGCACGTGAGGGGGAGCAAGATGTGGAAATGCATTTTATCGACCCTGAGCATTGCCATGCTGGGAAACTCAGAGAAATTATTTACCCACCAGTTGGACAGAATTGCCAAGAGATTCAAAGCACTTAATGTGCACACAGGTCTCCAGCACTTCTCTCACACCAGAGGCTGGTAGGTCGTCATCCACTCCTCCTGGGCCAGTCCTAAGGCTGATCCATCCAACCACCAAAGCTGGGGGAATGCCCACAAAGCCGCCTTCACTATCCCCAATAATGTGCATCTATTGGGGGTCAGCAGAGACAGATTCAGATTCTAACCAGAACAACCTTTCCTCGTCCAAAATTCCAGCTCAAGATTCATTACCCCACCTCCCTTTTCTCCCTTAAGCTCCGATCACTCTAATACTCAGTATTCACCCAAATTGTTTGTTCATTTATACTTGGTTAACTTGTTTTACAGCAGACCAGAGCTTTGTTTTGCAACCTAAGAAATGGATACCAAGTAGTCTCCACATCAGACTAGGGTCTAGAGCATGTCTTCTTTTGCTGTCGAGGTAGTGTAAAAACAGGCTCAAATTTTAAACGGACTCCCAAGGTTCTTGAAACAGGTTGGCTAGATTCAGCCTGGGTCTATCCACTCCACCCAATTTCACTTGAAGCCGGCCATTCAGATTACTGATGGTGTGCTGCCACCTGGTGGTTTACTTGGAGCACCACCACCACCTCCTGTGGTTACAGATCCCTGCTTGGTGCAAGGTTGTCCTGAGAAGGAGCTTCCTTTCCACCTGTCCAGGGTGGCTCCTTTCCCTCTAGGATCAGGCTGGCTAGGCCCTGGGCGCCCTGTGGGGTACAGACCAGCCCCTGCCTGTCCAGGAGCTTATCTGAGGCCTCCCTAGTTATCCTGGGTTAGGACCAGAAGCCAGAGCACTTTGAAGAGCAGCCAGGACAGCTGCTCTGAGTTTCCATCTACATCCCCAACTGACCCTACCCATCCAGCCAATTCCAGAAATGGCTTAAACCAAGGATTTAAAATGTTCCCAGTTGCACAAAGATTAAGCTGAGTATACACAAAAGAACTAATTTTCCCTATAGCAAGAGATCACGGGGAAGAAAGCGACCTCAGAAGCTCCCCCTTCCAAACCCAGGCTCCCCTCTTCTATGAGCATATCCAGGGGTCCTTCTGTCATCTGGCAGATGTGTATGTGTGTGGGGACAGGGATGGGGAGGCAGTACTCGGAGCCCTGAGCCTCTCTCACTAGCAGACTAACCCTGCCTAGCTAGGCTGAACATTAGGCAAGAGAAGCTGCTTCCAGGGGACACCTTCAAACTTGAAGGAATTCACAAGGTTCATGTTGTGCGTGTCAAGGGCATTTTTCTAGGCGCCACCTGCTGGGCCTTAGCAGGAAGGTAAGGTCCTTAGTCAATCAGCAACTGGATGAGTCAGATCAGTTAGAATTTAGGTCCAGAAGTGCCCGCCTATTAGTTGGTGATGGATGGTCGCTGAAAAATGGCTGGGAAATCTGTATTTTTGGGCTTACGTAATAGCTCAGCAACTGTTCTTGATCACAGTGATGGGAGCTAGTTTTGCTCAAACACCTCCATAATTGTTTCCTCCACCCCAGTCCCAAAGGAAAATGATGGTTGGCACTGGGCAATCCCCTGTAACTGGGAAGGAAATGAACTTGCCTGCTGGGGTCCTAGCTCTGAGAAGGCACCCGCCACTGTAGAGCAGGAGTTTACCCTTGATTACGTTAGCAGTGCTTACTTGATGAAATTGGCACCAGAACCCCCTTAGGTGGTGTGTGTGGGTAAGACAAGGCAATCTCCACCTGAGCTTTCCCAGCCTTTTTACCTCCCCACCTCCCCCCAAGTATTCAGCTGCCTGAGCTCCTTCAAACAACCCCCTGGGGAAAGGAGACTCCAGCTTCACTCTTTGATTAGCTGGGCTCACATAATTAAGAGTTTCCCAGATCCCATTATATGTGCACTCACCTGGAAACTTCCTCACAAGCTGACGTTATCAGATGTGTCTAATGAGGCCACTTGTGACTGGCAACTCAGGTGTTGCCAGCAGGAACATTCGGTTCCAAGCTCCGTGCCTGAAGCACTTTTCCCCCCAGAAAAAAACACTTCTTAGCTGAGTTCCTATTCCAGCTTCTCGCCCCCAGTGTTCCCCTGGCACCAGCTTGTCCTGGTGCCCCTTCAGGATAGTAACACAACAGGCATAAGGCCCACGGCACCCGTCTGAGCTCCAGACCATAGCCTCAGGAGTGAGATCTGCATGGCTGTGGAGGACAGGACATGGATGAAGGCCACAGCAGTTGCTGACATGCTCCTGGTTTGTTCTACCATCTCCTATGACAATAGTTCTGCTATTCCAGCTCAGACTTTTGGCCCCAGTCTTTATCATAGACTCAAATGCTGGCCCAATTCAAGATCCCCTTGAGGCTCAATTCCACCAACAACGCGAGAGGGTTCTAGAGGCCTATCTTGACCACATTCCCAGATTTCCTTTCAACAGGTTTTCAAGGAACCTTAGGCATTACTTGTTTCTCTTCTACTGTGGTCCAAACCTTCTTGCTATCCTTCACACCTCTCACCTTTACCTCCTAAAATACATTTGCTTCAAAACCCTGCTCCTGACATTTACACGGAAGCCTTTCCCCTTACTCCCCCACCAATTTATCTTGTATATTTCATTTATTTATTTATATATATATATATTTATATATGTCTCCTCTGTAGTAAAAAAAAAAACCATACCAACTTTTTGGGATCATTTTGCTATCTCTGCATCCCAGTAATGTAGCACATTAGATGTTTAATAAAACGCTTCTTGATTGGTTTCACCCCAAATTCCATGAGCGTAAGAGTTGGGGAACTATGCGCTTATTCCATATAGGTAGTCAAAACGGTATTCCTCTGAGCTCTATGAATAAAATTCCAAAGGATAAAACCAAATTCCTTTCACTTCTGTGATGCCCTATTCCCCCCAAGTGTTGCAGTCTCACTTGATCAGGACCATTTCCCTGCTGCCTCAGCTTCATCCTGACATAGCCCCGGGGAGCCAGCCTGCCTGCCTTCTAGAGCTCTGCCCGCAAGGTAATCATGCCCTATATTCAGTTCCCAAGATGGCTGGGAAGTCGTTGATGAGAGATATTAACTGTCAGGTCTGAAAAATAACAATGGAACTCACACATTAATTTCTTCTGCAGAGAAAGCAGTGGGTTAACAGGGAAGGCAGGTAGTTTGGGTCTGCTGGGAATGTGGAACTTAATATTATTATTACACCTCAGTAAAGGCATCAGGGTCTGATCATAAGAGCCATTTGTTTTAAAATGACTATTGAAAACCCCTGCCCCCAACAATCTGGACTCTCTCTGGGGCTGTGTTTCTAAAATGAACACTCCGTTGAGAGTGTACAAATGCGGGAATGGGAAAGAGGGGTCAGGGAGTCCTGATGCCCAACGTCACATGGTAAATTGATGACAAGACTGTACCAAAACCTGGGTATCCAGCCTTAGAGGTCGGTAAGTGAGCTCTCCACCATACTTCATGGAAACTTTGAATTTAAAGCAACTGACTAGAAACCGTGGGAAAGAGAAGACACAAAAATCCAAACCCCACCCAACACTGTTACCCTCTTATGGTGATACAAAAAACCCCATAAGCCACAATCAGTCAAGCACTTAAAAACCCTAATGTTCTTCGTTGTGCCTGTTCAGATATGCTCTACCCGCCCATGTGAGAATAAAAAGACATACTGCGCTTATTTTTCCAGATGCTTCTTTTGTAAAGGAGCCAGAATTGGCAACTATCCTGAAAATCTTCAAAAAGTATGTACAAAGGTGTATTATACAAAATATACACAAGGCTTACGCCAAAATGAGAGAGCACAACAACAAAACATAGATGAGACATCAGCGTCAACACCTAACACCTCTCAACATCTACAGTGAACCAGAGGAGCATAGTATACTACAACACAGTCTGCACACATAAAATATAGTAAATTACAGTAATGTACAGTAAGGTATAAAAGACAGGGAGCCACCCCCCGCCCAAGTCTGCCCATGATCCCTTCAACACAAAAGAAGGCTATTTCCCATACAACCCACATATGGGAAAACCTTTGAGGAGGAAGAAAAATCCCCAAGGGAATAGAATGGTTTACCTAAACCATTCCCAGCACTAGCAGTGCTCCTAAGGATACAGGTTGTAACAGTCAGCTTAGCACAAGGAATGGAGTTCTTTGCCAGTTATCAGTATACAAAAGGTGCTGAGCAAAGCGATGCTTCTCATTCCATCTCAGTGAACCGAGCAAACATGGCTTTCCGGACTGCATCCTTGTAAGAATCTGCTGTTGACACACCATAGGAGCTGCCTTTTGCTCCCAAGCCAGCTCCTTTCATTCGTACTTGAGCCTGGGGAAAAACAAAAAAGGATGTCTGGCACTTGACATAAACCAAGAGTGCAAAGTATTCCCACAGCACAGGCTGGTGCCTCCTCCCAAGCTCATTCCTTTGGCAGGACCATTCAAACTGAAAATTTGTAAGGTAAATGTACTAGACAATTAACAATTTCCTCAGTGGGATACCTAGGGCAGGTTTGAGGACTAGAGGGAAAAAAAGCCAGCAAAAATAAATGGACAGACCAACCCTCATATATACTAACTGTTGAGCGAATGTCTAATTCTGGGAAAGGTCTAAGGGCACACATTCAATACAACTGTACTCCTAATGCAAAACTTATATCATTTGCCTTGAAAAATCTGATGCCAGCAGCACTGGCTTTAGCAGGACTAAATGCTGGCCATGAAAATTCCTATTGCTTTTCTACTTCTAGGCAACCTGCAGGAATCTTTTATTATTGAGATGACCATTTAAAATCTATACCCTAAACCAATTAAATAACAGTAATTCAGTGGACATAGCTACATAACTAAATTTTAAATAAGTCTACATATAAATGACACCAATTAGGCAAGCCCAATAACACAATACTTCTAAATATACTCAACCTAAGATATACCTGGAATCTGATTTGATGCTGAAGTGGAAGTTTTGAATGATAGGTTAGTCCTCAGAAATGGAAAAAGAAAACCACAGGAGGCTACAGTGAATTTTCATGTAATGCCTACATACTACATGCTCTCAAAACTACTTAGTGCATTCAATTCCTCTCTCACCACAATGTCTGCCTGGATTAAGAAATAAGTCACCTCAATGCTATATTTGGAGAGAAAAGGACAACCAGGCAGATAAGATTCCTTCAGAACAAACCTTTCATCACAACCAAAACACCAAACCATTGCTTACCTCAATAGGGGCTGTGATGCCTTGACACTTCCTTCCCAAACCTGAGCCCTCTCGCCATCCCATGGCCTGTAGCATTTTATTGCCAATATTACTATGGTCAATGCCATCCTTAGTTGGCTGTTCATAATTACTAAAAATGGGGAAAAGAAAAAAAAAGTTATATAAATGGAAAAAAATTTTCATTTCACACGTGGTGGAATTATCAAGATACATACACAGTGCCAGCATCAAATTGCTTCTTTCTTTTGGGTTCTGGAGGTTCTGGGATTCCATATTTCTCCCGTCTCTCTGCAGCTCGATCTCGGTACTTCATCTATATATGGGGAAAAAAAACAGTTGGAAATCTACACAAACTTCATTCTTCAAACAGCTAAGACTACCTCTACATTTCTCAAGCAGACATTTAAATAGTACTAAATTCATTTAAACCTACTAACATTTCTTCACCACTGAAAAATATTAAATGTGGCCTCTTCCTTACGTCACATTACTAATGCCATATTGTAACCATAATAAGCAGTCATCCTTGGTTCTCTTTTTTTAAAAAACTTTTCTGCATGAGAGTAAGATTTAAGGGATTTTCTAAGAGCAAATTAACATTTTGGTCAAACCCAATCATCAGTTGGCTCATCTGCCTATATGCTAGCTTCTCATGGAAAGTAAAGAAAGTGAAGTCAAGCAACAGAGTTTGGAGGTATCCTTCCTCTAGGGCCATGTCCTCCCAGAAACTTTTTCCAGCACGAGAGACCAAACCCTCACCTGAATTCTTAACAGCATTTGGCAATCACATAGTACCTTATGTGGTTATTGGTAAACTTTTCATATGACATGTCTCTTGTATCCTCAAAGTAGTGTTAACTCCTTGAGGTCAATAAACCTTTCTTTTTTTTTTAGTTTTAGAAAAATGTTTTAAAATATGGCAAGGTACTCAAATATTTCAAAATTGGAATTTCTGAAGACTAATCTGTACCTGAACAAAAATACTTCTCTATAATATGCCCAACAAAAGGCTTCAGCCTCCACTTAAAAGGGTTATTGTGCAGATCACATGAGATAATGTATCAAGTCCTTTGCAAACCATAAAGCATTACGATACTAAAGGTTACGTTAGTACGAACACTGTTATGAAATGGTAACTTCTGTTTCACTCACCTCTCTCTCTCTCAGTTCCAAAGCCTCTAGTTCTTGCTCAGACAGTCTAGATCGTCTATAGATATCCATGTTTTGCTGTGTAAAGCATTTCAAACAAAGAAAAACTCAAGACACGATTTTTGAAATTATCACATCAATGACACTTTTTAAAAGTTTATCATTTTCGCATTCTCTAGATAACCTAAGTAATGACAATGCAATGCTGCCAATTCCTTTCCCATTCAAAGTAGGAAAATTAGGCACCTAAATAGTATACATTAAAAAAAATAGCAAACTCAAACCTTATGTAAGTCGGAGAGTTGTTGATGTCTAACTAAAGCATCTTTGTTGGGAAATTGCCTTCTACAGAGTAGGCAAGCCATTTTCTTCCAATCAGTCAGTTTTTCTTCTTCACTTTCAATTCTTTCCATCAATTCTTCCTCATTATCACTATCACCACTATAGGCCGCAACTAGACCACGCTAGAAAAGAAATGGCAGAGTGACTACATTATTAAAAAGTGTACTTTTTCAAATTTTGAGGGTCAGGGAGAACTCCTAACAGTTCAAGATATGGATATAGCCACCCCTCTCTAAAACTCACCCTTCTTAACGAAGCAGCATTTCACATAACCCTGAAGGCCAACACTGAGTAAGTCAGTGTTGGACTAGATGATGGCCAAGGTCCCATCCAATTCTAAATTAAGGTCCTCTGCTGTATCCTTTAAGGCTGAACTTTACAGTCTTCTCAATGAAGCTTTACCTGACCACTGCAGCCCCAGAGTAAGCTCTCACAGATAACCCACAGACATTAATATAACAATTAGCAATTAATCATGTACTTATTTACATTCTCTGTGTATTAGTATTTAACTGCTACTTAAGCTCTTCATATATTTATGCACAGTTCACCATGTGTGGCAAAGCGTCAGCACAAATGTTCTCTCAATAATCCCTTCATAAAGACATATAAAATCATAAGATAATTTGCAGCTGAAAATATAAACTTTATCAAATGATTATCCTGATAAAAAATTCTCTATTCTTCTAAGAACAATCTGTAAATGTGTATCACACCACTCCTATACTGACCGTGATACAATCAAAGGTGAAAATATTCGCCAACGTGAACAAATGATTATCCTGATAAAAAATTCTCTATTCTTCTAAGAACAATCTGTAAATGTGTATCACACCACTCCTATACTGACCGTGATACAATCAAAGGTGAAAATATTCGCCAACGTGAAAATGTCAAGACTCAATACAAAATTAAATATAAACCCATAATTAGTAGATAAATCACTACAAACACATAAAAGAAACTTCCTTAAGATCTGAGACAGGAGGCATAGAATGTAGCCAAGTTGTTTCTTACTTTGAGTGGATTTTCCTCTTCTCCATTTTTCATCAGCTCTGGGATAAGCTGCTGTCTTTCAGCCAAAGCTCCCTTAAAAGACAAATGAAAATCCATGAGCCCACAGTTTTTGCGTGACTAATTCTACTTAAAGCACTGTTGCTAGCTAATGCCCCTTTACCTTCTTCTCAAAGAGAGCAAAGCCGGCATCTGCTGCTGCTGACTCTCTTCTCTCTTCCTCCCTCAAGGAATTGACAGGCTGGAAGCTATTCTTAAAGTTTTCTTTTTGTTTATTTAAGCTCTTAGCCCAGCGTTCCATGTCTTTGGCAATCTAAAGCAAAAAAAAAAAACATTTGAAGTCAAAATGATAAATGAGACTGGACAATGAGGACCAAGTTCTCTGTATCACACTAGTCACTAAAGATCTTTCCTCACCACAAAAGCTCTCTAGAAAAATCCCCAACTGTTCTTATTACTAATCTACAATATATAATTAGAGCTTTAAGGTAAACACTAAATTTCTGAGACTTCAGAACTTTTAAAGTGAACAGGGATATACTATTAGTAATTTCAATTATTTTAAAGCAAACCAAAGCAGTAAAACTATTGGTGTCAAATGTGCTATTCCTATTTTCAAAAATAAATATATAAAAACTTTATGGGAAGTCTGTTTTAAATGGCCACAATATTAACCCAAAGAAATATAAGAACCTGCTGACAATAAAACATATAGACACTTTCCACATGGCTAGTTTTAAAGAATCAGAGCAAAACTGACCAAACGCCGCCATTCAACACCAAGTCAAGAATCCTGATACAGCAGATATCAAGAAAATGAAAGTTCAAACTTGGGTCTATAATCTTCCAAGTGACACTAACTAGCTGTTGGACCTCAGGCAAGTCACCTTACCTCTACCCTTCTTAGGCCGAGTTTCCTCATCTGTAAGATAGGGTAACAGCTGCAGTGCTTACCACCTGCCAGGTTGTTGAGGATTAAATGAAATAATGTACAGTATACTCTACCAGCTCTTAATTATAACAGTTCAAGCCTTGCCTGCTGTGCCGTTTTGCTCTTCGGCTTCTCTTTCTTTTCCTTCCCTTCTTTGGTGGAAGGCAGACCAGTTTGTTGTTGGGCTACACACTCTGCTGCAGGCACGTAGGTCTCCTTCTCTCCATCCCAGTAAAGATACTGCTGTGTCAAGGAATTATAATAGTACTAGAAAGTAAAAACACCAATTGTTCAATAGTGACAATTTCAGCCCAGTCAAATAATTATTCAAATTAGCAATACAAGCAACTTTGTGAAAGATATTCATAGAAGACTGGCAAAAATCTACAGTAGTTTTCACACACAGAGTTGTCAGTCTGCACGAAAAACAAAGAGCTCGCCAGAACTATTTTAAGGCAGGATTCTCATCCAGCTGAACACGAACCAAAGGCTGGGCTAGTGTTGCCTCCCACCCTGGCCATTTGGAGAGTCTACTAGATAACACAAGGCAGAGAGTTAAGTGTAAGCTCAGAAATGAGATGCAGAATCTTATGGCTGGTTTTAACAAATTTGGTGAAGGAGGCAAATATAGGAATACAGTAAATCAGTAAGCAGGCCTTTAGTCCCTTCTGTCCTAAGACAAGTTAGTTACTGTACATAAAAAGCAGAGTCCCACAGACCAAACCAGAGTTCCTTTTCCAGACTGAAGACACATAGTCAAGTACTAGCACTAGCACACAAGCACAAATAGCTTCCCCTGACTGGTATAGTTGGTGGCAAAGAAGGGAATGTGTGAGCCATGTAGTGAAGCTAGAGATTACACCTAATACTTCATTCATGCAAAAATTCACTTTTAAACATGGGGGCAGAACAAAGCTTAAATTTGGGGTTCCTTCAACAGATTAACTATATGTCAGGAGTAACAAGCCACTCAATAGAATATACTCTATGACCTTACATAACAGTCCATAAATCTTGCTAAACAACCTTATTCCTCATAAGGGAAGATGAACATATTGTGAATTCTCTCTCATCATGTATTACACATTTTTCATTTATTTTTTTGGGGGGGAGGGGACAAAGAAAGATACTGGAGGGACTTTGTTAGAAGAGCTATGTGGAAGCTTTTCTAACTACTGTTCTTCATCACCAATGAGAAAAACAAATCAGCCATAAATTTCAAATTCTGATATGGTTATATGCTATTAGTATTTACTACAGGCAGAACTTGTGAGAACAACAGCCTGTTTTGTCTATTGACTCTTCAGATTTTCTGGTATTTAAAAACACTGAAAATTCAAAAACAAATCTCCCCTAAGGGATTACCAGGAGGAAACAAAACAGTTAGAAAATTGGGAAATTGGTCTTTCCACAAGGATAGTAATAGCTACCATCATACACTTCAGGACTAATGACTGAACTAGCTACTAAACCATCTTTTAAAAGGTTTAAAATGGTTTCAAAGGGAATAACCTAATCTGGGTTTATAGAAAAAAACAAATTTAAATGTAAAGTACTAAACACCACTTACCATGTTTGAGATTTTACCCCTACAGAGAATATTTAATTTCATGCCTCATAAATTGACCTAAGTGAAGCTAATAGATTTAAAATGAAAATACATTAGAAGACAGTGCATTTACCTGAGAGTTAGAATCATAATAAAGTCCTGTAACTGGATCATAATAATATCCCGAGGATTCATCATAATGGTAGGTAGACGTGTCAGGGACAGCTGTAAAGATAAAAATTCAGAACAATTTTTGTTTCCAGTAACAAACAGGCTAAAAATCCAAGCTAAGAAAGTGATTCTGTGCATGTCTGAGATGTTAGGTATATTCTCCAGCTACATTCTACACAGCTCACACATTCCCTTCACAGTAGCTTCAATGCACACACATACAGCTAAAGTAACACTAAATGTAAAAAGCACCTATGTATAAAAAAGCCTCTTAATGATGAGAAGTGATTTTAATTTTAAGCTTACCATATTTGGTGCCAGGAACTACACCAGTCGGGGAAGTTGTTTGTGCTTGTGTGCTAGTGCTAGTGCTAGTACTTGGCTGTGCTTCCTCAGTCTAGAAAAGGAAAGCAGGTTCAGTAATTCTCATTTTGAATGTCTCTTAAAAAAAAGCAATCAATGCACCTTCCCAAAGACAGGCACTTTTCTGACAAACTATAGCAATAAGCTAAAGCAAATTTTCAACAACATAATATACTATCAGGAGTTACTTTTTCCCTAAAGGTTAAATCAAGGCATGCATAAATATAAACGAACCATCTTGAGAACCTTGAATTACTTAAATAATCACATTTTAAAATTCACTATCAAAAACACAAAGACAATGTGCTTTCTCTAGCTCTGGTTCAGAGCAGAAAAGGTTAACATTTGCCCAGCAAAACAAAAGTTTTCATAACAGTAAACAGTTCTATATTTAAAACTACAGATTACCGGAGAGCCAGGTGGATTGGTGGTTTGATTATACAGTTGGGGACTTTGGGATACTACAGCTGCTGAAGTAGTGGTGACTGCTGCCCCTGATAATAAAAATAGTTGGTTAGAGAGCCAATGTACTTAGGTTACCTGGAAACCTCAGGACAAAATTATAAGCTAAACACTCAATAATATTCCTCTTTGATGTCTCAGATTGCCTTCCAGCACTGTACTGTGGTGTATGTCAAGTCCTGTTATCTAATTATCACTAATGGCCCACTGGATATGCACTATGCAGAGAAGATAACCTTTAACCTTTGATATCTAAATTTTCTTATAAACAGAAAATAGCTGGTTTTTTGGGGGGAGGGCCAAAGGAATAGGAGGAAGGATGAGAAAAAAGGAGACATTATTTACATACTTTAGATTAAGGAAAGATTTAATCATCTAATTTTTATTTATAACCTTAATTAAAGTAATAAAATCTGTAAGTTTGTACTTTGTCCACAGCATTAATCGTACTCTTCCTGGATCATGTAAAACATTTTAGCAACATTTCTAAAGAGGCAAGCAAAAGAGTACTTGGTCACTCAAAGTAAACACTGCCACTATGCGCCCGGGGTTGGAACTTGGCAAATACAAGTACAATTTGGACCGTTCTCTTAATGCATAAACCATGGGGGTTTTTATGAGAACCCACAGGATGGCAGAGGACTCCTGATTATCTTTGAATGCTTGAGGAATCCAGTAAGACTGCCTCAATTGTGAAAGCTTAGGCATAAGATGCAATGAATTGTAATACCTGGTACAGTAGATGTATCACTCTCCACTCCCCCTGCTTGCTGCTGGTAAAACTGCTGATAATCTTGTGAATACTGAAGAAAATGCAAATGGCAAAGTTGGCAAACTCCTGTGAGATCTTTGGAGACCAGAAGAGTCTAAATTCCTTAAGATTTTACTCACCTGGGCATACTGTGCATAGCCATCTTGGCCTGGCTGGAGGTAATTGTAGTCTATATTGCCACCTTCTCCACTCTGAGACTGCAAAATTCCAACACAGAGAAGAATGCACATAAAATTAGTAAATTTCAGATAAAAGTAATTAGGAAACATTCCCTAATAATTTCTTTGAGAGCGTGCCAATCACAACCAATGCAGGTAGGTACCGAGAAAACAGGAAACCCACTACCTGTAAATCTTGGCAATACCATTAACACTAATTTGAGCAAAGGACCCTCCCCACCTTCATACCTGCGTGGATGACCACTGAGCTGCAGCAATGGCTGTGCTAGCCACAGAAAAGGCGCTGACCCGGTTACCATCTGGGAGAACCAAATCTCTGAAACCATGAAGACCAAATCTCATGAACAAAACTGTACTTTCCTCTCATATCTACCTCAGGTTCATTCTCCCCTTAGTCACATGAGGAAATCAGACATGGTCCCTACGTGCTGATTTGTAGCCCAAAAATTAGTAAACTGTAAAGGCAATAGTTATGAACTGCTATTAGTGCCAGAAGATCATCAAACTGTCTGTCAGAATTTTACACACTCATTTCAACACAGTATTTCTTATATATGTGTATACACACACACACACACACACACACGAAAATTAACCAAACACCTGTGGATGAAAAATGCCAACAGAACAGGTAAATCTGTAGTAATTATAATAATTACTATTCTTATCCACTTCTGGAAATCTAGCGATTACCAAATCCTTTGTGCACAGCACAACAGAGGAGTCAGGAAGACCTATGTCCAAATCCAGCACCTCAAAAACCCCTTTTACTATGTGACCCTGGGCAAGTCACACTCGACCTCAGTTTTCTCATTTGTAAAACAAGGGGGTAGATCCAATAACCTCTTTAACGTCTCTTCTACCTCTAAACCTATGGTTCTATGCGCTGTTATGTTTTCATTCTCCCTACTTGCTTTTACCCTCAACTGAAGCAAAGAGTTCTCTACTAATCACAAACTGACTTACAAGGACAGGTGAAGGAATAAGCTCCATGAGCAAAAAAACCTTTTATTCCCATAGGCTTAGTATTAGTAAGAAAGGATATCAAACACTACTTTAAAAATTTACAGCTTTGTTGTATAATTGATAAGGAATCACTGGGAAAAAAAAATCTCAGGATCCATTTAGAATAGGATTGTTTTAAATAAGGACAATGAAACCACTCACTTTCTAGCACTTTTGGCAAAATCAACTCCAATTGTTTTGCCATCGATTTTCAGTGGAGGATGTAGACTTTGTAGCACCTGTAGTAGCTGAGAAGCATCCTAAAATGGAAAATAAATAAACAAGACATAGTTGGTAATCCCCTTCAAGATCTAAGAAATCTGGTTCTAGAAAGAAGGAAAGTAACTCATTGTACATGCATATTTGAAATCATTAGATTCACCACCTTTTCCCATCAAACAAGAGGAATATGCTATTACTAACAGGTTAAGTCAATCTGAATCAAAGAATTAAGAAACAAAATTTTGACCGCTTAAGTTGCCAGAACTAAATGTACATTAACTTGGGACTATATGAATTGCCACAAAATTATTAAGTCAGTAATTAAACTGTGATCTCCAAAAAGAAGGCACTGATCACCAAACTGCAAACCATCACTGAAATTATTAATCACATTTAAAACTTAAGTGTCTTTGAGATAAAAAATTACTCTCACCATTGCTGAAGACAGCTGCACAAATGCAAACCCTCTGTTCTGCTGTGTCTGTTTGTCTTTTATAAGACGAATGTTATTGACAGCTAACGATGCATATGGAGACAATGCTGTCATTATGGAATCTACTACAGTGTGAGGAGCAATATTTCGAAGAATAATAGCTGAGGAGATAAATAAGACAAATGTTATGCATGTTTCAATTTTTAATTACTATTAAAGGCAAGTCTAAAGTACAAGTAAAAAAAACCCACAGCTTCAAAATTAGACCTTTTATCTGAAACTCATTGAGGAAGAACTTAAAAAAACCACAGAGGTGTTCCCAGAAGGTATAAGACATATTTTTGCTGCAGTTCTTGTAAACTGTATAGATAAACTTACACAACTATAATAAACCTTTAATTCAGGTTTTTTTGCATTACAGAAATGTAGAGAGATAAAAGAAGCCTCAACCAGAGGTCAAACCCTAATAAGGGACATTTTCACTTACTATCACAGTAGTAATCCACAGACTGGACAGACTCTGTAGTTCCAGATGGTACTTCCTGTTCTGAGTCTTAATAAGAAACAGAAGGGGGAAGAAATGAGAAAGACGAATGTACCAACTTACAGCCCAGTCAACAATGTATCAATATGCCAGTCTTTCTACAGTCCCCCAACACTGGCTAGTCCCATCTTTTTACCAATTTGCAGAGCACAAGGAGAAAACTCAAGACTGTTTGATTTGTACCCATTAGTGATTTAGAGCATTCTTTTATATGGTTAATAATCTGCCATTCTTCTTTTAAGATAGGTTTATTCTATCCATCAACATATTCTGTATCAGGGACTAGCTTTTGGTTTTATAGTTGTGTGTGTTTATAAATGTGCGTTTTTATACGCATTTATATACACACATACTCAGCTATCAGACCCTAATCAGAGTTGCATTTTGTTGCAAATGCTTTTTACTTTCATATAATCAAAATGACATATATTACCTTTTATGATTGCCAATGGTACTTGTTTGGTAAAGAATTCACACTTACCACCAATTGTGAAAGACTCTCTTCTAATTTGAAAAATAACTTGAGCATTTTTAACATTCAGGCCCCACATTCATTTTGAATTTATTGTGTGATATTGGTGTAAGATAATGGCCTAACCCTAATTTCTTCCAGACTGTTTTCCAGAACACACTAATGTGGAATTTATGAAAACCCAGGTAACCACTCAATTGATGCCTACCACTAAGATACAAATAGTAAATGAGGTTACTATTTTAAATTCTGATTAGACTTGGAAGCAAAGAGAAGGGGAAGAAGTGTCTGAGTTTAAATACAGATATAGCTGATACAGGACACGGCATTAAAATGTTTTCAAGACAGTTGAACCAAACCTACCAAATTTATCAGCTCCGCATCGGAAGCATTTGAGTCTTTTCCTAAAATTGTTAAGGCAGCACTGAAAAAAAAAAGTTGAGGGTTGAGTTCAGTTATTTTTCATATCAACCCATAACCCCCATTAACCACTGAAGTACTAAAAAAAGCTGCAGGGATCACTGTCTGTTTCTTAGATAAATCTTAGTAGCTACTAATAATGACAGTTCATAACCAAACAAAACTGATTTCAGCATAAGCTTTAAAGAGGACAAACGTTCAGAAAAATGTGTATATTATGTGAATTTCCCCTAATTCTTTTAAGAAAACTATCAAAGGCTGATCATGCAGGACCTTATTAAGTCTGAATAGAGTTAAGTTTCTGTTCATTCTAAAATTATGTAATAAGTTATCATCAGTTATCTCATTATAGTCTACACAGCATTAGGGGGAATAGGACATACAGGCATTCCAACGTAAGCATCTTGATAAACAAACTCATATACAGTATGAACAAAGTTCAGAACAGATAAAATATTTGGAGTGGAAAGCACAAAATTGCAATCAGAAAGACTTGGGTTTGAATCATGGTTTCATTACTTATTAGATATATGATCTAAACCTCAAGTCTCCTATTCCACTAAACGTGAGTGTTGTGAAGATCACTTATCAAAAGAGATAAAGAGGGTCAAGTATGATATATCTGAAAACCAATAAAATACAGATTAATATGAATACAAGTTAGTACCATTGTGAGGCAGCTAACTATGTGTAAAGAAATTTCTGGACTTCATGCATCAGAAGGGCCTTGCCTGATTTTATGTAATATGTGAATTCAAGTTCTGCCATTTAATAGCTTTGACCTAAGACTTCATTCCTTCATCTGTAAAATGGGTATTAATATTCATACTTTTCACAGGATCATTGTGAGCTCAAATGAAAAAGTAGACAAAAGCAATTAAAGTCCTATATAAATTTAAGCAGTTACACTAACCTAAAATTTTAGTTTTTATTTATACCAACAGGTTAACATATGGTTTTTCCCTAATACGAGAACATGTAAACAGACACTATAAAGCTGAAGAACCTAGAAATCCACAAAATAGTTTAACACAAAACAAAAAGTAACTGAAAAGAAGGGTTTAAATATTAATAGCTAATTTTATACATCACTTTAAAGTTTGCAAAGCACTATATATACATGTATACATCCTCACGCACACCTCATTTGCTCCTTACAACAACACTGTGAAGTAAGTACAATGGTCACCTCTCATTTAACATGTGAGAAAACAGGTTGAGAAAGGGGTTAAATGACTTGACCAGGGTCACACAAGTAAATGTTCAATGCAGAATCATAAAACCAACGCTCTAAAATTGGTTCTAGAGCTTCTAGGCTCACCATTTAGAGGACCTCTATGTGAGCTCATCCACGGATGACTTCTTAACCAAAAATCAATTATCTAAGCTGAAAGATGGCACGACCAGTATAGTAATTTAAAAACATCAAATAAATATCACACAAACTGAAAACCCAGAAAACAGCTTGTGAAGGGAATAATAACTGACAATTATTACATAAAATGGAAACTTGGTAAAGAAATTTGTTATACTCCAGGTTGAACGCCCTTCAAAGAAATGCTGTACATGCCTCACTTCACACAAATCCACGTCCAAACAAATGATCTACCAAGTGACACTGCTCGATATAAATTAAGATACAAGTACAACCCCATTAGAACCTGCATACATGACCCTGGGTAAGACACTTAACCCCACTGCCTAGCTTAAAAAAAAAAAAACAAAAAACAAACAAAAAAAGAACCTGCATACAAAGCTACCAATATCTTGCAAATGAATCCTAAGGACATTCCCTGAATTATAATTTACCACGACAACTTACCACTGCCCCAACAATCACCAATTGTCAGTAGCATATACTCTCTTTTAAAGTAGTATTTGTCTTTCAAGTTTCAAATGAAATATTCTAAGATCAAGTATTTAGCTCTCCACATTCCAATTGTAATGATCCCAAAATACAACAGCTACAAACAATTTAGTTAGGAAAAGTTTCTTAACAACAGCAATTACAGCCTCTGGGTGCCATCCTTCCAAGCTGTTTTTGTGCAGTTGTGCTATATTACCAATAAAATACTCAACAGTAATGGCTTTGCCCATAAACTACTGAATACTAAACACTAGATACCGAATCTTAATACTATTTCAGCACTAAGGTGACTGCATGAACACTAAAATTTTAAATATCTTAGCTCTGAGGTCAACCAAAATCCTGAAAGCACTAAGAGTTACGTATTCCAGGAAAGAAAATCTAACTAGGAAAAAGAAAATCTAAAAAGGATAGTTAGCTGGCATACCTATGGCTATGTCCAAAGTAATGTTCACGTCTAAGAATTCTTTTTAATATTTAAATGATGGTTCTGGGGGCAACGAAAATTTTTCTGTAGCCAAATTTTTCTGTAGTGAGCAGTAGCAGAGAATTAAGGACAGAGAAAAATGGAATACTCCCTGGGCTTTTCTCTTACTGTCACCTTGAAGAAATTTTGTGTGTGTGTGTGTGTGTGTGTGTGTGTGTGTGTGTATGTATACATACAAAAAAACCACAACTGAGTCAAAGTAATAATAGGGTCACTGGTAGCTTTCCTCTGTTAGGCCTAATTCCAAGACTGTTGCATACCATTAACTTTTCACACAACAGAGTTAAATAAGTTTTTAGTTTACTTTTCAAAATGTAACTACTTTACCTTGTTACAAAGCCAATCCTCAAATTTAGGCCTGGGATTGCTATAATGCATTGCAATGTGCTTTCCTTGAATCACCAACTTTTTCTGCAAGAAAAAAAGCAATTAGTTATTCCCATTCTGAGGCATGTGTGTCCATTTTCCCAGGGCAGAGCACACTTCGGAAGAATCAGTGCTCTGGAATTAAATGGACAACATACGGGGAGGACCAACCGCCACCTATACTCTGCCCATCCAATCCTTCAGAGAGGCGGACATAGGCAGTAAGAGAATGGGATTCGGAGTAAAGGTAAACGGAGTCAGGGCGTGTTGAGAGAGCTGCCAAACACTAAACGCTGACATGGAACCAGAAGTGTCTCCAGCAGAGACAGAAGTCCTAATATTCAGCACTGACAGGTTTGCTAAGAGTGATAGTCTATTTATATAAACAAAAACAAAAACAAACCCCCCACCCCAAACCATAACTAACCCAAGTTTTAGAAGGCCTTCTGTTTTTAGCCCCTTGAACATCTGTCCTTGGGCACTGCTTCACTGCCCTGCCCAATCCCCAAACCTAGTCAACGTAAAAGCGTTTTTAACTCCCACTCCCCAAGTACTTTTCTTCAAGATGTATCCCTCTGAAAAGAAGGGAGTTCATCTCAAAGGGAACCTGGTTAAATTTCTTCGGGGGGGGGGAAGGAAGGGGGGGGCGGGACGGAACTATTTTGAATGCCACCAACTGAAGCATAGCTAAATTTCATTTCTTCCCAACTATATCAGTTCATATAATCCAGTGTTACAGATGCCTTCTTCACTGAAACACAGACCCTCTTTCAAAATGAGTAACCAGGAGGCCAATGAAGTTTCTTCAGGGGGTAGGAAAAGTTTACAAATGCATTCACCACCATGTCCATTAAGTCAACAAAGTGACTAAAAGGGACGTTTGAGTTTTTAATAATCTAAAGCTCTAAGCTTCGATCACTCTGATCACAAGTATCAAGGGGCTAATACCTGCCCCCAAAGAGTCTTCATTTAATGGGAGCAACTGTTTACTGAGGTGTGACAAGAGTAGAAGAGATTTAGTCCTGGATTTTTAAGGAGTCTAAGCCTCCTAAAAAGATACATCGAAGAAATGATGGTTCTTTTCTGGGAGATTTACAACTACGTTGCGAATTCAGTATTGTCCTAACTTCTACCGTATTTTAAAGAACAGGACTGTGTTTAACCTATGGGGTAAAATGATGGACCTTCCACTCACTAGGATATGCATATACAGAAATAAAGATGCTGGCAAAGTTCAAAAGATCATCCCATCTATAATTTGGCAGTAGGGCTACTGTGAGACTCAAAACTACTTTGGGTTCCCTGAATCTAATGTCCTTTCTGGAGTGAATTTGGACTGTACTTTTTTCCAAGTAATACACATCAATACAGCTTTGTATACATTAAAATTGTGGAATTTTTGGTTTGTTTTAAAAGGAATTTTGATCTTGAGAGTTTTAAACTCTAGGCAACCAAGATTTCGGTACACCCATTAGTAGCAATGGATGTCATGCCAGGAAATTCTACTTTAAGCACATAAGGATTAAGTATGTTCTGAGTTTGCTATGAAGGTGTCCATGGTATGAAATGCATGACGTCCTACTTTCACAAGGCTACAATGCCATGGCTTCTGATTACTGAAATGAGAAGTATAAAAATCTGACAAAGGAGTCAGTTAAAGTGACACTCTCATTAGCTGAGTCTTTAAATAAACTGCAATAGCTTCCCAGAGACAAGAATATAATTTACTTCAGGATGACTCAACTTACGAATTACCATATAAAGAGCAATTTATTTTTATGTCAGTTATTACAACGAAAAAACAAACTTTTTCCAAAGTGCACCTGACAGAAGCATTTTAGTATTACATTTGAACTTTAGACAAAAACGCTATTCAAGTGCAAAGTGTTAAGTGTTATATTCACAACT